AGGCTTGATCTTGCGCTTGAGGTAGAGGCACACTCATACTTCGGAGCATTGACAAGGCTTGAAGAGGTACACACGGAATGTAGTCCTGGAACTTACTGAAGTTGAAACAAACTCAGGTACCTGACATTTCCCTTTTTTGCTTTTGCTTTGCAGTCCGGAACCATATATAGCTTCAGATAGGTCCTGGTTCTACTGTTCTCACATGACCTGGGTTGAATCCTGCGGCTTTATGAAAGCCGTCTCAGTTGGTCTCCTAGGAACTCACCGCAAACACAGGCAGGTGGCTATACCAGACCACCAGAAGTCGTTCGGGCACGACAAACACCAAAGGAATTGCTAGACCGGAGGATTTAAGGTCTCCTAGACCGGGGAGTGCACAAGACAGTGCGAATAAAGATGCAGGATTTAAGGTCTCCGTAGACCAGAGGATTTAAGGTCTCCTAGACCAGACAGTAAAATAGATACGATGTAATAGATGTGATGCAATAGATGCAAAGGGTGAACACACGCCAACCACGCTGGACTCGCGAGTGGAGGAAGAACAAAGAAAACCAATCAGGAGCGCGCTCCATGCAACCTAAGATAAATTCCAAACACGCTGAAATCGTGTGAGGAAGGGAAGGCTCCAATCACGCTGAAATTGTGAGAGGAGGTCCAAAATTAACCCGCCCAGTGCGTCTACAACGCAACTTGGGATAAAATCCAAACACGCTGAAATCGTGTGAGGAAAAGAACACTCTAACCACGCTGAAATCGTGAGAAGAGGTCCGAAAACAACCGTCCAGGTGCACGCACAACGCAACTTGAGATAAAATCCAAACACGCTGAAATCGTGTGAGGAAAAAAAACACTCTAACCACGCTGAAATCGTGAGAAGGGGTCCGAAAAAACAACCGCCCAAGTGCGCGCACAACGCAACCTGAGATAGATTCCAAACACGCTAAAATCGCATAAGGAATGGGACACTCAAACCACGCTAAAATCGTGAGAGGAGGTCCAAACAACAACAGCCCAGGTGCGCGCACAACGCAACGTGAGATAAAATCCAAGCACGCTGAAATCGTGTAAGGAACGGGACACTCAAACCACGCTGAAATCGTGAGAGGAGTCCAAACAACAACCGCCTAGGTGCGCGCGCAACGCAACCTGAGATAAATTCCAAACACGCTGAAATCGTGTGAGGAAAGGGACACTCAAACCACGCTGAAATCGTGAGAGGAGGTCCAAACAATAACCGCCCACGTGCGCGCACAACGTAACCTGAGATAAATTCCAAACACGCTGAAATCGTGTAAGGAAAGGGACACTCAAACCACGCTGAAATCGTGAGATTAGAAATTTCAAAAATTCTATTAAATTTTTTATCAAATATGTTACATAGGTGTGAGACTCACACCATGTGTGTAGACATTTGGTAGAAAATTTGATAGAACTTTTGAGAACTCTAACATTTTTGTTAAAAATAAGATTAAAAATAAGAAAGAAGGTAGGTATATAATCAAGAGGGTTGCTATTTACTTCTATCTTTCTTTTTAGAATTTCTATCTTTTTATTTTTTTTAATTCTAATTTTATTCTAACATAAAATTTCACTTTTACTCTTATCCCTAATTTTTTAATCTTAATTTCCCAAACCCTAACCTTAACCCTAACCCTAACCCTAACCCTAACCCTAACTCCTTCTCCTCTGAACTTCGGCTACCACCTTTACCCGCTGCTGGCCAACCCCTCACTGCCAGCCGTAACCACCAAGTTCTTCATTGCCAGTTGTAGTCACCCAGCCCTTCTCTGTCACCTCCATCCGTTGCCACAGAGCCTCTCTCCACCTCGCCCGGCTACCTCCAACCCTTTTTCATTGCTCACATCTTCTGTTGCCACCCTCATTTTTCTCTATTTTTTCTTCTTCTAAAAATCCTAAGTTTATCTATTTCTCTCTCTCTCTCTCTCTCTCTCTCTCTCTCTCTCTCTTGTAGTCGCTTTCTCTCGCAATGGATGAGGAGGTCACTATGGTGGAGTGGGTTTGTCAACACAGTGCTGAACAAATCCTTTTGGCTCACTAACATAGTACTGAACATAAATGATTTGTTTGACTGTTAGGATTTTTGGAAAAGAAGAAGAGGAGGAGATTGATTGGCAAGATTGGATGGAGGAGACTCTCTCTCTCTTTCTCTCTTTCTCTCTCTCTTCGTTGGGGTGAAGGAGAGAACGACGGTGATGGGGGATTGATGTAGAATGGTGGATTGGGAAGAGGTGGTGGTGGTAGGTCTGGTTTGGAGATGAGTGGGCGATGACGGGAAAGTTGCCAACAGGGGCTGTGTTGGCGGGAGAGGTCGTGGACCAGAGTGAGTTATGATTGGAGGACTGGTGAAGTGAGAGAAGAGAGACAACATGTTGTTGAAAGGATATATTTGAGATTATAGTAAGGGTCCAAAGAAAAATGTGGAAGGGAGCCATTTTGGTGGTGGGGGTTCAAAGTAGTGAGATGTTCAAAGTAAAAAGATAAAGGCATTTAGTAGTCCTTATAATTCAATTAAATGTCGTGAAAAATCTTACTGAATTATAACTTATGAGCTTTGTACATGTATATATGACATCTTCATAATCAGAAGAGCATTATTAAAATTGTTCCCAGTTCAAATACTTATAAACCTGCATATTCTCTCTCATTTCTGGTTTGAGAGAAAAATATAAGTTGCTTAGGATTTCTTGGGCAGAATTGAAGATAATAACATAATTACTTCGATCGATTAGGATTAAAAAATCATTTTTTACCTTAACCCTCATGAAAAGTGATTATTCATTCCTATTATTGACATACAACCTCATCGAATAATCCTTGTATTATACATTACTTAGTAGGGTAAATTAGAAATACACTTAAAATACAGATTATCTTGTAATTTTGAAAATTACAAATACCCATTGTCAAAATTTGTTATTTAACAAAATTGAAGAAAAAAAATAAAATTTTCTAACTATCTTTCTATACAACAATAAAATCACCAGAACAGTTAATTAAAATATATTATGACATCATTAAAAACTGTTAATTAACTTAATGATTGATTAATGAAATAGGTTATTTGTTATGCAATTAGAAATTTTAAAGGATATAATGTAATTTTCATAATCACATGGAGTAATTAGTATTTTAAGTAAATCTCAGGGGTATTTTTGTAATTTACGCTGCTAGTATCATCACTTTTTGGAACTGATTGATACAAATGTTATCCAACTACATCAACATATTCCATATAATTTAATCTGTGAATTCAAGTTGGCCAAAAATCATAATGTAAAAGACAGAAAACCCATAAAAATGACTTCTCTTTTTGTGCTGAAATTGTCATCTAATCTAAATTCTAAAAAATAAAAACTTATTTGATGTTGTGGATGAAAATTGAACTCTGTGGATGAAAATTGAACTCAATCGAGCAGCTACCGAAAGTGATGTATTATGATTACATATCAACACTATGCGCAACCGAAATCTATCACAAAAAAAGCTCGACTTATTGATGGTAGAGAAAATTTTAGGCCCAGCGAGAGAGACTTAAATTTGTATTTCTACAAGATAAGACTGTCCTTTTCATAATTGAATGATCAAAAAAGAAGAATAAACTCAGCCAAGATGTCTCTTTCATTCCTTGTTTGAATTCGCTAATTTCTTTCAAAGATCCCATAACCACAAAAGGAGAACAAAAAGGTTATGCCTTTCCTGAATTATAATCTTCACTTGAAATTTAAAAAGGCCATTGAAAAAAAGAGAAAGCAACCGACCAACCAAAAGGGGTGGGACAAGGAACATATGCTGAAACACACCCCTTGTTTTCTCTGTTGTATTGAATATACCATTCTACCCTTGGTTTTGCACTAGTTGGATACACCTCTTACCGAATAGTACATAGCACAGTGGTATCTTTACGTGCAGTCTTCCAAGATTGATCAACAAAAGACATATTTCCAGTTTGATTTATACCATAATAACATCTAGAGATAGTGTTTCCTAACTGAAGCTCAGCAATCAAGCATGAAATCAAAGAATCTACGCGAGAAATGTGAAGGAAGTCGTATGAGATATAGAATAAGAGCTTAATTAGTGCATAGTTGCCTTCTGAATCAAGGGCAGTCTCTCATTTTTACTTGCCAAGGGTATTTAAGTAATCATAGCGATAAAGGACAAAGATGAGAAAAGGATAGCTTGGGGAACAAGCTCTCTTCAAAAGAAAGGTGAACATTTTAAACAAAGAATCTCTTCAAAGACAAATAGTTATATGACTACTTTAAGTTCTAATCCCTCCATCCCTTCTTCTCCTGGTGGAAAGTCGCTTTGGAAAGATAACAAGATTTCTAATTCTGACTCAGAAGGCCATGGCTATCCCGGAAAAGCTTTTGCAGTACAAGTATCACTTTACCATAACAATCTTTTTATCCCTAATCCTTGCTTTTTTCATTATCGTTGCTCCTCGGTTTATCACCATTCTCTCTTACTTTTGGCCTCTCTTACTCTCTACAACTGTATTCTTGGTGGCAATGGTTGTCTTTGGTCAGATATCATCGACTTTCACTGAATCCTATGATGACAAAGCAGGCGAGGGACTCTTGGATTACGTTACAGGGCGGCCAGAACAGCTGGAAGAATAATGAAATCCTAGTAACAAGTGGAGATTTGGAGTTTTTTACTACTAAGACTTGCTATATGGCTAAACTCGGACCCATTTAGAGTGACTAATCTCCAAGTACAAAACCAATGTACATCTTATTCTATTCAACCATGTACGTGTAATCTGTATGTCTGGATTCTCAGCTTCTTTATAATCTGTAGAAGGAACCGAGAAAATAATAATGAACAATTACTTGGTCATGACAGCTGGGTTGTCTTGCTACTTCTTCCTTGTACATGGTATGGACAGGTTTTGGCATATTATGTATAAACGAAAATTAAGGTTGTTTTATTTTTTATTTTTTATATATACAATATAGGTTCATTTGAGGGACAATAAAGCACAAAATTGTTGATTTGATAAGAAAATTTCTATCGAACCAACCCATGACCAGACCCCCCAAAATCTTAACAAATATGGACCAAATTTTTTTAATCTATCCTAAATAAATTAAATTTGTGGAAATGACCTGAAATTTATAAATCAAACTCAAACAATCATGTTAGATCAAAACAATAATAAGACATAACATGTATGCACATATTTGTGAATTCGTAGTCAAAATGTATGCTCAAATGTACAACTAAGCTTTGCTTTCAATTGCAGTATGGAAAAGAAATGGGGACTCTGCAACTGTTTTTGGCCTTATTTATATATGGCCAAACTAGTATATACAAATAAGATAGAATGGTATGACTGCATCATCTGAAAGATTTCATTCAGTCTTTTCTTGTTTTTCTAAGCAGAAAGATATTTTCCCCTATATTTTGATGAGTATATTCTACTTCTAATTGTGTCGATCAAGAAAAATTTGAGTCAATGACCTGTCAAATATAGCTTCTGTCAGCTTTGTGGTTGAGATGATTCCAAGAGCAGCAGATCAGCTGCAGTCAATGTTCCTGACTGATCAACATCAAGATTTTTAAAACCCTCCATCACAACTGAGATATCTTCCTCACTTATCTTCCCCATTTCTTTCAGCTTATACACAATGAACTCTGCAGCACTGCATCAAAGAAGCCAACACACAAAACAAACAAATAAACAAACAAACAAAATTAGAAATTGAACTAGAATTGAGAGAGTAAAGCACAAAATAAATAGCTGAGGTTTAGGTCTCTGGAGGTAGAGATCAATCCAAAGAACTTACCTGACAACTTTATCATTGTCAAGATCTGCAGCCTCAAGATCCGAGGTTGTTAACTTGCGTGTAAGAGCCCACTTGACGTGTAATCTCTGTCTGTTTTCAGTGTATATTTCAGCAAGATAAAGAAATAATTGGGCTAAACAAATGGTACTGATCAGTATCCAGAAAACAGCAAATAAACGTCCCCCTTCAGTCGAAAAGCTCTCATCCCCATATCCCAAAGTCGTGATGGTCGCACAAACACAATAGAATGCATTGATGAAGTCCAATTCCTCAACTTGATATAAAAACATGGTTCCAACAATTACAAGCACCAAAAGAAGGGTCACTGTGGTCAGAAATTTGTATCGGGCTTTGTTGCTTTCAACCTCTTTAATAATCTCAGCTGAACCGATCTTTTCATGCATGTACAAGGCTTTAACCAAAAGGATTTCCTCTTTCTCTACAATGTAGTCTGCGGCCTTACTAAGAACAAAGCCAACAAGTCCCATACCGGTGAATACAAAAATGCAAGCAAGTAGTTTGGTCAATACGCTATTGGGCACAAGGTCTCCATATCCAACGGTGGTCATTGTCACAACACAGAAATATATGGCATCAAGAATCCCATTTGTTTTCTTACCCTTGATCTGATTACCCATGAGGAAGAAGCATAGTGTGCCTACACCTATGTAGATACTAAAGTATATGAATATAAGTCTAAAATTAAGTTGTCCTTTTGAAGAAATTAGGTCGGGATTTGGTAGCAATTCAACACCATTTTGTTCTGGGAGATCAATTTTCATTGAAGGAATGCTGCTATTATGGGCATATCTTCTTCTCTTGAGGGCTTTTTTTTCATTGAATTGATGGGAAGGATCTACGGATCCTGAAAGCAAAGGCTCTTTAACGTCATCGCAAGCCATCAGATAATTAATATAAGGCAGCGCATCTGTTTGAAGACAACCTGCATCATATTGAATTGTGATGATTTAAAGTTTTCATTGGCAAGAAATCATATCTGAAAATTCCTTCTATATGCAAATATGTATCACTGACTCAATTTTAAGGTTTAATTTCAAGTGATCGGGGGAAAATAATTGCTTGCAGCAATTGAATCAGGTAAACTAAAAGACTTTTGGAACAACAAATTGTCCTATTTTGTTTGACAATTACCACTTTCTAGACCAAAACTGATCCACTTTCAAAAGGGGCATCTTAGGCACCCCATTTTTTTTATCAGACATAATACTTAGTCCTGGAGTTGAGTCGCTGCCCCATGATGACAATGATATGAAAGTGAAAATATGAGCACTTCAATGAACTTAGCCTATGTGTGGAATCGCCTCAAGTCTGGAGATCCATATTTGTTCACCGTTTTGCGAAAACTGAACATTGTACGTGCCTTAAAAGACAGCATGTAGTGAACATAAGTCGGCACATAGCCATAGTACTCAAATCTTAAACTCCCATTACGTTGTGGTCTAAATCCATCAAGTGTATAAAAGAATGAAAAGGCAATAAACGAATAAATAACTCGATAATAGACTGGCAAAAATATTACTCCTGAAACAGTTAAAATAAATCTTTAATTGTTGTTCATTATGCAGCCATATGGAATCAGCTCAGTTTGCATCTTAACCTTAATTGTCAGTAAATATACAAGTACTGCTACCAAACGAAACCAGACCAAGCTTTTAAGTCTCATCGAATGGGGTCAGCTACGTGAATCTTTCCTCTCTACTCGACTCTATCTAAGGTCATTTCGTTAGTACAAATTTGGAAATTTGGAGTAAGTTCATTTTAGGATGTACAAATAAAAATAAATAAATAAAATGAGCGAGGGAAAACTGATACTCCATCACTAGACTTTTTGGTTGTCATTCCAGTGATTTTGGTGATTGTGGTAATGACTTTGCTTGATATGACAAGTTGAGCATCTAAATGGGATTCAAAGAGCCTCATTTGGGAACATGCTTTTTTAATAATTTTTTGATTTTTTGGTTAAAATGTGATGTAAAAAAAATTAGTATGTTTGGGATGACTTTTTGACTTTTTACGAAAAGATGTTCAAAAAGTAAAGAGAAAATAAAATCTTTGACTTTCTGATATGAATTGTTGGCTTTTTAATTTTATTAGTGACTTTTTAATTTTTTGACTAAAAAAGTCACTTGCCAAAGAGGCCTTAATAAGCAACTTTTTTATGTTGAAAAAGTCAAAAGTACATAAACTTGTTTTGGATGGCTTTTCCTCAAGAAATAGTTTTTTGGAAAATTTGTGAAAAAGATAATTTTACCTTCAAGGTTTAAGAAATTCCTACGTATCCTTACAGGAGATCCACAACACCATAAGGAGGGCAAGTGACAGGTCAGACATTCGATCCAAAATGAAAAAAATTGTGAACTGCAACAGATAGCTGACTGTGTGACTGCGCAAAACATTCCTCACCAAAATACAAGTTTGGAAAAACTAAAAAATAAAAAAAATAATTTTGTTTTAACGATTACCAAGCGCATAAGGTTAAGCAATTGTCAAACCCCACTTATACTCCTATTGATACAATTTCCAAACCCCACCAATAATCCTAATTAAGATTAGGGCATATTACAATGGTAGACTCTTGTGTCATTTTGATTCCTATAATTTCAATTGATTCAATTTTGACTTTGAATTTTTTATTTTCTGTCAAGTAGGCCCAATTGATTATAATCGTTAAAAGTTTTTAATAGAAAATACGCATATGAACAACATATGTCATATGCATGTGGGGCAAAATTGTAAACATATACAACTAAGTGAGTTAATCTCAACCAACTCAGTTATTATCTTTTGTCAAAAACTCTAACCGGCTTTATTAATTGAATCGAATTGACACAAAATTCAAAATCAAACCAAACCAATTGAAAGTATATGAACGAAAATTGACAGCAAGTAAAATGCAGGATCACTTACCCTTAAGAATATGACCCTCTCTCTCTCTCTCTCTCTCCTTTTTCTTTTTAATGCAATATTAAGCTTCTAAAATGTTAACAAACAAATAGATCATGCCTTGAACTGCATCAAACAACACTTCTCCCAGATGAATTCTACCATGTAAAAAGGCCATATATTGTTAAGCACTGTATTTCCCTTTATGAACATCCCAGGAAAATCTAAACCATTCAGAACAAGATGACAATTTTGCATATTTAATGGACAATAAGGGTAAAAAAAGATATATAGCATAAATGACAAAAAGGCAAAACAAAATCAAATCACTTCTTCTATATACAAAGCAGATGATATAGAGAAACATACAGATAACAGCATGAACACAAAAGGGTAACAAGAAGATTTTGGTCATACCTGAGAAAGTTGGATTCTGTACATTTATCAAATTTTATTCATTTTCATTCCTTTTCAGCTAAAACCCTGAAAAATCGGAACACCACCAATAACAATTAGAATTCTCATCTTGCGAGTAGAAATTTATTGGATTAAGTTAGATAAGAATATTTTTCTTATTTATTTATTTTTATTTAATTTATAGGTTGGATGGGATTATTGATACTGCGGATTGAGTGAGCGAATTACGTGACATTAGATTGAAGATCTTAAATAAATTGTATTTATTTGTGCACTAATTGTATTAATTGATTGGGGTCAAATTTATAAAATTACGTTAAAATCTTAATAATATAAAATGTGACTTTATTATTTTTTGTAAAAGGAGAGACAATAAGATCTTTTTTAAAAAAAAAAAAAAAAAAAAAAAAAAAAAAAAAAAAAAAAAAAAAGGGGGGGGGGGGTGTTTGGAGATAGGAATTTGACAATCTACTTATAAGATTACATGAATAAACTAGTGAATGATGTAAATATAATTACAAAAACTTTCTATTTTACGAAGACCTTTCCGTCAAAAAAGTTGGTGGCCAATAACTTTCTTAATTAATTTTGTTAATTCTATTAGTTTTATAATAATATCACATTAGAAATAAAAAAAAAATATTGTTGAATTGATGTTGTGTAGGCATCATAACAATTAGACTATTTTATTTGTTATAAACTGTTTTCATTATAAAAAAAAGAAAAAGAAAAGGATTTTGTGATATTTGACCACATAAAACATTAATAAAATAATTTTATATTGGATCATGTAAAATCATTTACAAAATAATATTTGCTA